ACCTAAATCTGAAATAAGTTGATGACAGTCGTATTCTCTCTGTCTTGGGTCAACAAGGCAACACCCGGACGACACAAAGCCTTCCTGAAATCTGATTGGAGCTAACTGATGTAAGCTTACGTCAGTCCTGATTTTTTAGGCATAACATAGACATTGGTTATAAGTTGCTTTGAAGAATGTGCAACATGTTCCCAATATCCATCTTGACTTGATCACCACTAGTACTGTTGAGGATGAAGGATACTAAAATCACTTTGGTGATGAAAAATGGAAGCTCAATAAAGGATCCTTGATAATGGCTAGAGGGAAGAAACTCAACTCTCTTTACATGACTCATGCCAAATCTTTTAATAGGGAAGTAAACTCAATTGAAGACTCCTTCACAAAGTTATGGTATATGCGACTTGGTCACTTGAGTGAGAAAGGGATGCAAATTCTCACTAAGAAGCAACTTCTCCCTAGCTTGAAAGATGTTGAATTCCAATATTCATTACTTGACTAGTAAAGAACATAGATTTGCATTCAAGAATTATCCTTCCAAAAGATCAAATGTGTTAGATTTAATTCATACTGATATGTTTGTTATATGAATGCTATGAGTCTTGGTGGTGCTCAATACTATATTACTCGAAAGTGTGGGCTTTTACTTCGAAAATTAAATACTAGGTGTTGAGCTACTTTAATGTTGCCTTTGAGAGGGAAACATGCATAAAGCTTAAATGTGTATGTGCATATAATGGTGGAGTGTACAAAGGTCCATTTGAGGAATGCTACAGAATTCATGGGATCAACCTTGAGAAAATAGCGCCAAAAACACAACATAATGAATTTGCTGAAAAAATAAAACCGTGCTATTATTTACAGAATTCGGTGTATACTTTCACATGCAAAGTTGTCGAAATCCTTTTAGGGTGAAGCAATGAGGACAACTGTGGCTGACCACCTACAGGTATGGGTTTGGACACAATGGGCATGAAGCCCAAAAGCCCAAAGCAATCAAAACAAAAGAAAAAGAAAGAAAAGTGAAAGGAATTCACTTTTGATAGAAAAAAAAGAAAAAGATAAAGGCAGCCCGTCATTTTACAAGTAAGAAGAGTGAAAAAGAAGAATAAGGCATAATAGAGAGAACTGACATATTGCTTTGATGCTAGTTAAGGTATGTTTAACTTAATTTACTCCAAGCTTAAGCAATGCCCATATTCTTTTCTTTTCTTCCCACTGAAGTATTATTTGATGCTAGCTACTTAACGTGTAGAGTGTTTGTAGTTTTTGCTTTAACCCTTTTCTCGAAAGATTTGAAAGATAAAAATTTAAAAAAAAAAAAAAAATAAGTAAAAGAAAATTCAATGAATAAACTTACCCATATAAAGACCTCATCAGTTAATCCAATTCACCGATAAAAAGAGAAAAACCCGGATGTTGAAAGACCATAAAAGCTTGCATGTATAACAAAAAAAAGATTACAAATGGAGGCAACTGAGTACTTTTACCAAACCGATGGTGGGTTTACTAGAGTTTATCTAGAAACCAAATCCTGTTACATCCTCCAGTGGCTTGAATGTTAACTTACAGGTCCTTCACTTTCTCATAAATGTCATTAAGACTCTTGGAGGTAATTATCATCCAAACAAAAAATCCTGTAAAATATTTTAAATGGTAGTTAACTTTTTGATAATTGAAGTTCACTGTTATTTCAACCATCAAATCAAAGTTCGTAAACTGATTTTTTTTTTTTTTTTGTTTGTTTGTTTGTTACTTTTCAAAAAAAAAAAAAAAAACCTTAAATAACAATAATACCTTCAATTTTAGCAGTTGGCTTCTATATTGGAAGCTGTTTTCGTTGACGTATTTGGGGTTTGAGAACATGATATTATATGTGCTTTGGTTTAGATGGTAACGCCCTTGAAGGGGTGGGCGGGCCTGAGTACCCATCCAAAATAAAAGGAATCGGAACTAGAACTGGTCGGTTTCTTTGATTTGAAATCAGAATTGGAACCTTCGGTTTCGGTTCCTAAAAACTTGGAACTGGAACCTCTATTACAGGTTTTGGTTCCTGTTCCGGGTATCCTAAAAAATATCAATTACCCCCCATTTTCTAAAAAAAATGACAAATAAACCCTTATAAAATTATAATTACACCCCTAAAAATTAAGTGCTAAACATTAAATAATATATTTGTTTATATTTACTTGATGTTTGATGCTTTATTATAAGTATTTAATTGTTTGTTTTCACCGATAATAAATATTTAAAAGTTATTATTTAACGTAAATGTCTTAATATATATTAATTTCTTAATCAAGTAATAAGTGAAACTTAAATATTAATAAGAATATATTGAAAAACTGATATTTTAATGAAAATTAATAAGATTTTTTGTACGAAGATAAAAAAACAAAAATTTTCTTTTATATTTATATGATATGCAAAATAACAAAAAACCCCTATTCTTTAATATTTTATCAATTTAGTCTCGGTTCTCGGTTTTCGGTAACTAGAACCAGAACTAGTATCAGTTCCAATTTTTTGGAACTAGAACCTACCCTGTTACGGCCGGTTTCGGGTAGGAACCGGAACTGACACCTGGGTACCCGTCGGTTCCGGTTCTACCCTAAAATTTTGCCCACCCCTAGCCAAAATAAACCACCATTGAAACCACCATAATGTTAAAGAGACGAGAACAGTAATACAAAGATAAGAGAAAATCAAGAATGACCTTGATAGGAATCCACCCCAACAACCATTGTTTTAAAAACTGAACTGGAGGGCAACCCGCTCTGATGGACAGGTCACGGTCCAACCGGTTGGACCGTCGGTTGGACTGGTGACATCATCACACATCATGAGAATCCTTTTCCCTACTTTTCATTTGTCTCATCTCTTCTTGTGACTCTTTATTTCTTTTCTAAGTTTCATGCATGTTATTGTTTTTAGCTTGAATCATTTGAATCAAGTCAAGTTGTATTCTTGCTATGTCATCATGCAACATCCTGTCGTCATAAGTCCTTATTCCATCCACAAACATACAATAGAAGTAAAACATAAACATTCAAGTACGGAATTCAAATACATAATTTGGAAATACATGCACATACAATAAGTACTTAGCAACAAACATACCACAAAATCAGTTGATAGTTGTACATAAAATAACTAAAGTAAAACATAAAGTATATCAATAAAAGTTCTGCTAACTACATAAATACATATACGAAATTAAGCTCAAAAAAGAAGAAAAAATATTTCCTTCTTTTATGAGCTTAATTTGAATTTCCTTTTTGTGATTTGCAAAATGCACTTCATGATTTTACTTCTATCAATTTCGTCCCAATCTCACTGCTTCCAAAACCAAACTTCAAATGGGCATGCAAACTTCAAATGAAAGGATTATCTACATGATAATTTTGGTTAAAGCAATATTTACTCACTGGCAGATTCTCTTTCACATCCCATAACCGTAGTGTGCTGTCAGTAGATGCAGAAGCAAGTTCATTATTTGACAAGAATTTCACATATGAAACAGCTTTCTTATGCCCAGAGGTCACTTCAAAAAGTCTTTCTGCTTTTAGCCAGCAAAAGAAAAACAAAACCAGGAGCAGGAGCAGGGTGAATTCAAATACATAATCTAGAAATACATGCACATACACATTGCTCCAGATAAAGTTTGCAACGAAATCATTATTGATTATTGAAGCTGGATCGAGGAATGGCGTGTTTATTACCTGGATCGAGGAATGGAGCTGTCATCAATGAATGGAGCTGTCACCGTCGATTTCCAGTGAGGAAAGGAGCTGTCGTCGTCGATTTTCAGCGAGGGAGGAAGACGTCGTCGATTTCCAGTGAGGAAGGAAGACGTCGTCGTCGATTTCAGAGAGTTCAATTGCGATTTGGGTGGGATTTCAGAGAGAAATTTTCATAGAGAACAGAGAAGAAGGTGAGAAATTTTCACAGAGATGAGAGAACAGAGACGAAGCTGAGAAATTTTCGCAGAGATGAGAGAAGGAGTTGAGAAATTTTCGCAAGAAACTGAGAGAGAAGAAGATGAGAAACAGAGAAAGGGTTGCGTATGCTGCAAGGGGGTATTAGGGATTTAAGGGTTTTTCAACCAGTTTATCCGTCAATCCGGTTGGACCGACGGTTCAGTGAAATTATCCAGTTTTAAAACGATTTAAAGCAGCTTATTACATTATAACGGTTTTGGTGTTGACTCGAACCGGACACGTGACCGGTTCGTGGACCGATCCAGTTTTTAAAACAGCGCCAACAACTCAAACAATTGGGTTGGGCCATGGGTCTTTCATGGGATCGGTAGAACGTGCTTACCATTTTCCCTTCTAATGTGGGATCCTAACATTCCACCACGCATCGATCTCTTTACCCCAAGGGTGACTACGAAGATCCCCTTTCTCAGGGTAACAGCCCGGGCCCAAGGTCAGTCTGTCATGTGTGGATTGCTACGTAGACGCAGGATTATGCTATGATACCATTTGATAGGAAACCACTCCAATAACTCAACAATGGGGCTAAGCCATGAGTCTTTCATGGACTTGAGTAGAACTCTCCTTAGGAAACCAGTTTGCTAAAAGAGGGTATCTAAGCTGTTTATAACACACATGCCCACCCTTTTCCCTTCCCATGTGGATCCTAACAGAATTCCTATGTGTTTCTTGCAATTTTGGGACTTTAAAACCCTAGAATATCCTTCTCTATTCACTCTTGTGCAATCTATCTTTTGTTTTTTCACTGTTCAATAGGGGTTTTTATAAGTGTGATTCAATTTTTTTTTTTCTTTACTGGGAAGAATTTTGCTTAAAATTGGAAAACGATTTGTGACCAAAACGAATACGACCAGTTTCGAACAAAGTCTCACTTGGTAAGACGAGTGATTTGTTTTTGTATTGCATACATAATATTACATATCAAAAGGATAATGTCTGATTAATTGGATAACTTTAATACGTCTACAAGACACATAAAATGATTTTTTTTTTTCAAAAAAAAAAGAAACCTCGGCGGCACGAGGGAAAATTTTATTAATAGTTAAAAAAACAAATGACACCTAGATAGGGGGGGACGTAATGAGCCTTACCCCTCAAAAAGCTATATATACAATGAATAAAGAGAATGCAAATGCAAATGCATGAAGTACAAAATTACAAGTAAACTTCAACTAAACCTATATAGAAATACATGCCAAACATGATGGTGGAGTTCCTTGGAAATAGATGAAGGGGGATTATCCCACCATTGCAAGCTCGAAAATGAAAAATCCAAATCTGCCATAACATTTCCTTCTCTGTAAAATCTGGGAACAATGAACTTGCATACTCTTCATTAGAGAACAATAATGATACCAACTATTATGTAAAGACCAAGGTGTCTGAAAAATCGCAGTAAGATTCATTCATAAAAGCATAATAATGATACCCAACAAATATCACTATCATTCAATTATATATTTGATTGAATGATCTTACCTCCTCTAGACAGTTATGTGACTTCTTCCTTCTTGGTTGAATAAGAATATTGTATAATCCATTCCCTTGTAAACAACAACAACTGATCAGTTCAAAGACTATAATATTAAACCAAATAATACAAATCTTCTGTGTTTTGTGATTTGTTTCAAATGTATAACCTTGATATGTAAGGTGCTTCTTTGATTACACAAATTACAAGAGCTTTACCACATCTTGGTGCCTCTGGTGATAAAGATGACTTTCAGAAGAGATACCACATGTATATGACTGTTTTTTGTTGATATATAATCATTTTGATGGAAGGAAGTTGACTCCTCTGGCTATAAGATACCACAAGAAAACAACACATTTCAAATAAGATGACGATATTTATGATGGTAGAATCATAACATGTTGTATGAAGCAATACACAATTTTTTGCTCAATTTACAAACCACGATGAGTTAAGCAAACTCCTCTGTTTTGTTCTGCAGTTATCCATCAAACATCAGAAACAGGATGAAATTGATTTTCTACTTTAAAATTACAAATATGATAACTGTATTTTTTACAAACATCTCCTTGTTGAATTACAAATAACAACTATAATAGAGAGGGTGAAAGATTAAAAAAAGGTTATATGAGAATGCAATGAAAGTATCTTTGCACATATTAAAGATTAACAATGAAAACTGGAAATGTTTGCTTTCTCTTTCTACGAATTGCCACTTTGCCTCCACTTGATTCTCGTCTCAGATGCTTTACCATTATGCTAGCATATTGTAAGTTATCTTGCGAAAATGCATTAACAAAGGCAACAAATTAAAGACACAATTGTAAGTTAGATGATTTAGTACTAAAGGCACAGTCAATCTGAGTTAGAGATCAATCATAGCAATTGCAATGCAGCCAGATCTCATTGATGATACTGACCTGAAATTCAAGGCTAATATTCTTGGAAAACACCTTGATTGCTTGTATGGCTACCCAATGCATATGAGGATTGATGCCTACAATGACTTCCATAAATGTCTGCATTCAAATCGTATTATAGAGCCTGAAACATTAAGAAAATGAGAAAATCTTTTCCAATACTTTAAAGCAATAGCTAGAGAAAAAGAAAAAAACTCACCAGAAACTTCCCCATATAAGCCATCAGCAATTCCGCTGAAACTCTCCATTTCACATGAGAGCAAGCACCTATTTCCCCTGAATTACAAACCATCTTTTCTCCTCACAATCTCCATTCACCAAATCTCAGCTGTCCTCAGCACACGTTTAATAACAGTATCTATATGATCCCAAGAGAACCACCCTTAGCTCAGTGAAAACAACCAGTTCATCTATCAAGCATTCCTATGCTAGGCTGTCAAAATGAATCTTCATCAATCAAAAGGAACCACACACATTTCCGCTTATAATTTAAAGATGTTAAATACATTTCAATATTTTATACATCAACACCATACTTGAATTACCAAAGAAAACCGTGGCATTTTTTTTGAACTTCAACAACTAATGAAACAACTAAAAAGAAGAGAAGAAATTACCTGTAGGTGATGAAAATGACTGCTGCCTAGGATATTGCACATGTTTATTACCAATTATGATATGAGGAATGTGAGAGATTTTGGGCCAATCTCTTCCTTTCTGTTTCTCCTTCTCCTTCTCCTTTTCGTAATGTTCTTCTAGAATAGAGCACCAACTGATGTCCAATTTCTGTAGTGTTGTCGTTTCAGAAAGAATGTGATCTGGCAAGGCTTTTAATTTGTTGCAATCACTAATTTTCAAGGTATGAAGACATGGCATGATACTAATATTATCTTCCTTGGTGATATCCCACTCTTCCCATTGTTTCATACGACAAAACTCAAGAGATTTCAACTTGGGGAAGACAACAGGAGTTGTGCCACCCTTTTCTATTCCCAAAAATTCATTACTGACTTTTTTCACACCCTTCATATCCAATAGCCTAAGTGATTCAAGGGATGCTAATTTTCCCAAAGGAGGTAAATGCTCACACTCTTCCATGCAATCACGAAGAGTTAAGTTGGTGACGTTGGGGAACACGATTTTTTCTGTACGTGAAAATAAGCAATTTCTAACATCCAATAGCTTGAGTGTTGTCGACTGAAGAATGTAGTCTGGTAATGCCTTTAAGTTCTCACAATATCGAATGGACAATGAAGTAAGACATGTCATGTTTCCATCCCCACTCCTTGTAATCCCAGAATTCCACTCTTCCCAATTTTTCATTTTCCAAATCGTAAGAGATTCTAGTTTGGAAAAGGCAATAGATGATGATGATGGTGATGATAGATAGTCATTTTCTATTCTCAAAAATTCTTTACTTACTGTTTTCACGCCACTCATTTGACTTATCTTGAGTGATGCAAGGGATGGTAATTCACCCAAAGTAGGCAATTTCTCACAGTTTATGCAATTAGAGAGTGTTAACGCTCTCAACATGGTTAATGAGAACATCCAAGGGGGGGATATAGTTTGGCCTTTGTAGTCATCTATCTTTAATTTTTCTAGATTTTGAGGTGGTTGTAAGGCTTCAAGAACTAATTCATGACGCTCATTTGACCTGGTTTGATTGAATTTTAAGCTCAAATCAATCAGGTTTTTCTTATTGTGGAATTCTGCTAATTTAATTGCACTAACATTTTTCACATTTCCCAACCCTTCTAACTGAAAAGATCCTTTAGGGTGGTTCAACTTTTTCAAACATTCAAGACTAGTACAGGCTTTCTTACTGTGACCACCATCACTGATAACAAATTTACTCAGTGTACGAAGACGAGTTAATCTCTCCATTCCTTTTGGCATGTAACTTAACGATTTATTATCATAATTTATTAAATGCCTCAAGTTGATTAACTTTCCTATCTCCTGTGGTAGTTTTACAAGTCTAATGCAACCATAAAGATCCAAGGTTTGCAAATTATACAAATCACACACCATCTCAGGCAACTCTCCCAATTTTTTATTTTGAGATAAGTTAAGATATCTCAAATGTATCAACTTTTTTATTCCTCCTGGAACTTTTGTAATTGAACAGTCACTCAAATCTAATGTCCTCAGACAAGTCAACTGATCAAATAATTTGATCAAATCTACTTCAAATACAACATCAAATGTACGGTTAACAACAAGAAGAAGGCTACGCAATTTTTTCTCATTGCAAATGGCAATAGGAATTGAGTCTCCTAATATCATTAAATGATGAGTTCTTTTGTAAGAAAACTCTAATTGAGACTCTTCATGATCATCAACATTCATAGTAAAACATTCATTTTGCGTTAGAAATTGAGCAAAGTCGTGCACAATATCATGCATCTTATAACTTACTATGTTACCATCATGTCCACTTCTTTCAGGATCTTGAAAAAAAGAGTGCCTCACTAAGTTTTGAAAATACCCTTCACCAATTAACTCTCCATCTACCTTAATGTAACCTTGGCCTATCCACAACTTAATTAACTTGTCTTTCTCTATCTTATAATCCTTGGGGAAAATGGCACAATATGAGAAACATTTTCTCAATTCAGCAGGCAAATCATAATAACTCAACATTAAAGCTGGGAAAAGTATTTTTTTTATCTCTTCTAACTCCCATAGTTTACCATTTAAAACACTTTCCCGTTCTATCTCTTCTAACTCCCACAGTTTACTATCTAAAACATTTTGCCATTGTTCAGTTTTTTCTTTCAAACTCAATAAATTCCCCAATATCTTTATAGCAAGAGGCAAGCCTTGGCACTTACTTTCAACTTTTCTACGAAAATCTTCTAAGTTTTTAGGCACTTCACTAGTCCTTCCATTAAACGCAATTTGCCTAAATAATGACCAAGAATCCTCATCAGATAATTTTCCTAGGTTGATTATTTTGGTGGTTTCTATCTTATTTGCGGTACTCTCTTCACGTGCGGTCAAGACAATTCTACTTCCTTGACAACCACAATTAAGACAGTACTTTAATTTTTTCCAATTGATGGAATTTTTTGTGCAGACATTATCTAGGACAAGAAGAAACTTTTTTCCCTCTAGAAATTGATGCATCTGTTTTAACAAAGTGTCTAATCTCCCTAGACTTAGCTTAGCATGCGTACTTTTCAGAGATTCAAGAATTGCTTTGGCAATCTTAATCTCATTAACACAATCAGACAGAGTCACCCAAATTTTAACATCAAAATGGGTATTCATCTCTTTCTCATTAAAAGCAAGTCGAGCAAGAGACGTTTTTCCAATTCCTCCTATTCCTATAATTGAAAGGATAGGAATAATTGGCCCTTCACTACTCTCGCTTAGCAAGAAGGCTACAATTTCTTTCTTAGCATCATCTCTTCCATATATTTTTGTTTCATAACAAAAAGAGGCAGCAGTCCTTGGTGATTCTAGCTCTCTAGTGTCTTTCTTAGAGCTAAACTTGAACTTATTTTTCTCTGTAGCTAAATTATCTAGCCTTTGATTCAGAATTTTTATCTTAATAGCAATATCACGACGCAAGACAATTTTCTCAGTAGAAAAACAATGAGAAAGGATTTGGAAACACACCTTCTCAAACGTGGAAGCATTTTCAACTTCCATCTTCAACTTATGAATGGCAGTGCTCCACTCATCCAACACGTCATCAATCTCATAGGAAGTGTCGGTAAGCTTATCCAGCCAATGCTTCACATCCATTTCCTTCACTTGTCTGTCTTCTGCATCTTGAAGCACATGCCGGATGCCCTCAAAATTGGTTTTGAGCGTTTTGACTTCAGCATCAGCACCCACGTCCAGTCTCGCGGCTCTCGCCTTGAGCGTTTCGCCTTCGTCTTCAGAATGCACGACGGGTCTCGCCTTGTCATGATCAGTTGGATTCAGGACAAAATCCAATTGCTTCAGGATTGCGGAGACAATCACTTCAGCCATTGTTTAATATCGCAGTTGAGTAAGGGAAGATGATTTGTTGTAAGGTAAATTTGGTATGCCAGTGTTGTGGCAATGGCGCCCTTTCGGGTAAATACTTAAATATAGATATCCAGAGGGGTGATGTGCCCCACTTAAAATTTAAAATTCATTTTACCCCTAGTATTTTAATCAATTACTTTGGCCCCCTCTAAAATTTTAAATTATTTTTTCCTTAATATTTTAGCCCATTACAAGTATGCCCCTCCTGCTTTATTCTATTAATTTTTAAGTTTCTCTCATGTCTAACTCTAAAGTATTAATTAGCCTAAATCTTTTATATGTGGTTTTATATTATGTGAATTTATCTTTATTTATTTTATCATTTATTGCATTTTTTTACTATTATCCTTCAAATTTGATTTAAATTCCATTACTTTTAATTTGACAAAAAATACAATTAAATTTAACTTACTTCCACGTGGGTAATGAATCACTTTTATATTTCTGGTTTAATTACATTATAAAATTTAGAATATAGTATTTGTATAGTATTATATACAACTTTGGAGAAAATTTCAAGGAATATATCAATAGATGGATTAAAGAATTAAACATTTAGCTTTGATACTTGTGAATAAGAAGTTAATGCAGTTTTCTCCAAGCAATTTCCATATTGTTTTCTGCATGTACACTCTCTTGTTTTTGCCAAATTTACCTTTGATATATGCTAGTTAAAGAAAGAATGTAGTTTTCTCCAAGCAATTCCCATATTCTTATCCTTTATGCATGCTCTTTTTCTTTTGCCAAATTTTGCTTTGATGTTAGTTAAGGAATGTACTTCTCTATCTCCAACTCTCCAAGCAATTCCTATATTCTTGTTTTCCTTTATGCATACAATACTTTTTCTTTTCAAAATTTGTTTTGACTAGTGAAGTGATGAAGGAGCCATTGCAATGCTTTACAAAATTGTTTTGGTAATATAAATCTTAAGAAATCAAATTCTAGTGATTTAAGTGCTTTTTGTCCCTCTATTTTTTTATTTTTTGATGACCAAGGGTGTTTGGACTAGCTTGGGTGCATCTTAACTTATCATTCGGGACCTTGGAACTACCGACTGGATAAGAGTTCCAATAATCTCTCCTATTAGGGGCCGAGATGCATCAAACTCAAGATTTATTGAACAATACATTTAAGAGTCCTAGTTGACCACTCGACCACCTAATGGTGGTTCTGTCCCTCTAATTTTTGTTAACTCAGAAATGGAATTGCAAATATGAAATATACATGCCAAACAAGCTCTTCTTCCAAGATTGAAAAAGCAGAAGTAGATAGTAGAAATTATTCCCAATGTTCCCTAAAGGTTTGAGCAGAATTTTGTTTGAAGTGTTTTTCAGAGCACTCCTTTGCCCAATAATTTAAGTACTTTGAATAGTAAAAGGCATTAATTTATGAGTGGTCAAGTTCCAACATTCTCCATCGAGGCATGAATTTATAGTGGTTATAAAGTCCTTTGTTAAAGATGCCATTTTTTCTTTTTTAAAGATGATCTAATTGGCTATTCCTTTGAGAAGACATCCATAAAGTTCAGCAAATAATCCTTGTTAAGTCATACTAATATAACAAAACCCATAAAAATACCAATTTTTTATGAGTAAGCTAAATTAAAGAAACCAATTAGAAGCCTATTTTGGTAATAATATATTTTCCCTACACTAAAACCATAATTATCAAGTTTAGGAAAATATATATATATATATAAACTTCATAATATTTTTTTACATATAACGAGTTAAATTAAATTTGTATAAGACAGACCTTATTTATTTATAATCTAAGTATTCTATTTATCTTGTTTTTGAGTTTGATAATTACATTACTAATTTAGAAATTACATAAATTGATTAGAAATTGCAAACTTATAAAACCTTGTGGATTTTTTTAAATTTCAGGGAGGGCGCTGGCCCACCCTAGGCCAGTGCAGGCTCCGCCATTGAATTATAGAAACAATAGAAGGTAAGAGATTTCACACTGCAGGGTTACATTTCTTTGTTTTCACATATCACATCAGGCGTAGAATACCATAAATAATTGAGTAATATGTTATTTGTATAGTATTATAGATAGCTTTGGAGAAAATTTCAGTGAACTTTTATTAGATGCATTAAAGATTTAAACATTTAGCTTTGATAGTAATCAAGGAATGTAGTTTTCTCCAAGCAAATCCCATGTTCTTTTCTTCATGCAACCTCTCTTGTTTTTGTCGAATTTATATACCTTTGATATATTCTAGTTGAAGAATGTAGTTTCTCCAAGCGATTCCCATATTCTTTTCCTTTATGCATGCTCTTTTTCTTTTACCAAATTTTGCTTTCATGTTAGTTAAGGAATTGAATGTACTTCTCTCCAATTCTCCAAGCAATTCCCATGTTCTTATTTTCCTTTATCCAAATATTACTTTTTCTTTTCAAAATTTTGCTTTGATGTTGGTGAAGCAATGTAGTTTTTCTCCAAGCAGTGGAGTGTTGGTAATATAAATTAAAATAGGTTGAAACTTGATGGGTAATAAATGAGGTGAAAACATTTTTGAAAATAATAATATAATTAAATGTGGTTAAGTGTTTTCGATCCCCTATGTTTTTTTTTTTTTGTCATCGAGAGTGTCTGAACTAGTCTACGTGTACTTCACTTAACTAATCCTTTGAGGTTTTGAAAGTTTGACCAGATAATTCTCTAGTAGTCACCCGGATCTCCTATTTCTGGTTAACACATAAATGGAATTGCAAATATGAAGTATACATGCCAAACAAGCTCTTCTTCCAAGATGGAGAAAGTAAAAGTGGACAGTGGAATGTTCCCTAAGGGGGCGTTTGGTTCAGGAATGTTAGATTACTGGGAATGTTGAATTACTGGAAAGATAGATTACCTTGGAAGATTACTGTGAATCTTTAGGAAAATGTGTTTGGTTAGTTGGTGGGTATATTCTATTAATATGTTTGGTTATGGAGAATAAATTGGTGGGTATGTTATTTAAATTACTAAATTGTCTATTTTTTAAATATTAATATAATATTATTTTTATTATTATTTTATGAATAATTTCTTTTAACCCCCAATATTTCAGATTTAGCTAAAACACCCTCGCTTATATAAAACTTTAATTTATGACGAAATCACCCCCACCTCCTGCCGCCACCGCAAACCACCGTCGGAAGTCTCCAAAAGTCCCCGTGAGTAGCTCACCGTGACCAAGAGGCTTCGATATGGCCGTTTCTGACCATATTGATGGCCGAAAACGGCCATATCAAGCTAGATCTGGCCGTTAACGACCATGGACCTGGCCGTTAGCGGCCAGATCTATTCCGGCCAGAATAGATCTGGCCGTTAACGGCCAGGGCTCTAGCCGTTAACGGCTAGTTCCAACAATCTGGCTAGAAATAGCCAGAATAGATCTGGCCATTTTCGGCCAGATCTGGCCCGATATGGCCATTTTTTGCCATTAATATGGCCGAAAACGGCTACACCAAAACCTCCCGGAGCCTCCCATTGAATCTCGTTCTTTTTTAGGGACACCAGCGACTTTCCCGCGGCGGTCCGTGGTTGTTGTTCCACTGTCGGTGGTGGTGGCTGGGTGGTAGTAGTGGTCTGTAAATTGTTTTAAATATAAGGGCATTATTGTCCAAAAATTTAATTAAACAAGGGTAAAATTGAAATAAGATATTAATGTAAATTTCTTTTAAAATAGGGGCATTATTGTCCAAAATTTTTATTAATAAGGGATAAAATTGTAACAAAAAAAGATAACCTTGGTAATCTTAGAAAACCTAAGAAAATAGTGGTAATCAGATTATCTCCAATATTACTAATAGTAACCACTATTGATATTTAAAGATTACCGGTATCTTATATTACTTGACAACCAAACATGGTAATAAAGTAATATCAGATCACTTACCCCTAGTAATGCCAAATACACCCTAACCAAATGCTCCCTAAAGGTTTGAGCGGAATTTTGTTTCACGGTTGCTCATAATTCATCATGTGTTTTAAAATACTTGAATTTGCCAACTTTGAATTTAATAAACATTTACATAATCGGTTAGTTAGGAGGATTTTTCTATTTAAAAGTAAAATACCCCTCATTTTGATATTGTTCTAGTTTAGCCCAAATTCTGCTTCCTAACCATGTTTGTTAAATTCAGAGGATGTATATCTTAGTACTTTAAAGTTTAAACTGCATACTAACCTTAAACTAGTAGACCTAAACTTGAGGAGTTAAATGCATTTAAGTCTAGGGATGAGCACAGGTAGCGGGTAGAACCATAACCTTGCCCAGAACTGACACTGTGCAAGTAGGTTCCGATTCTATTTTTTTGGAACTGATACTGTGCGGTTTCGGCTCTGGTTCAGCTTAGAACCTGCAGTAGATACCCTGTTTTGGAACCTGTTTTAGAACTTGGGCTGAAATAAATATCTGTGAAGAATGGGGGGTCTATTATAATTTTACATATAAAAAAATTAAAATGGAAAAAGTTAAATTTTTACAATAACCTAATTAAATAAATATACAATTATACTTATTACATATAAACTATACCATATAAAAAACTTTAATATATTATAATATATTAATATTAAAGTATTGATTAATTAAATGTATAATTGGAATTAGGACCAATTAAAAGTATTTTAATGTTATAAAAGAATTATTTTCAAATAAAATAGTAAGTTGATTGAATAATAATATAATATTTAGTTATTTATACAATTATCAAGTTCTAAGTATATCTGTAATAAATTAGTAATTAATTAATTATATAAAATAAATTGATAAACATTAATACATTACTAGTAAAATGATTACTTAATCAATTATAAGTTATAACATTATATTATAGTTAAATGATTACTTAATTGATTATAAGTTTATAATATCACATTAGTAATTTAGTACACTGCTTAATTAATTATAACATTACATTATAGATTTATAGTATAATTACTTAATTAATTATAAAATTATATTATAAAAAAATGATTACTTAATTAAATGATTGGTTAATTAATTATAAC